GGGGGGGGGGGGGGGGGGGGGGGGGGGGGGGGGGGGGGAGGGTCCCGGGAGTCTGAGGGGAAGGACCCCTTGGGGGCCCTCTGAGCAAACGCCCAGCCCCTGGGGCAAGCGCAGGAGCCCCGGCAGAATCTGGGGCCGACTCCAGGCAGGGGGCACAGCCAATCGGCGCAGAGTGCAAGATAAGGCAGTGGGTTGGCAGGACCAGGAGCTGCCGGGGTGAGGAGAGGAGCTCTGGGTGCAGCAGGAGTCCAGCCCACGGCCACAGCCCCCTTCTGGCCAGCAGCAGCCCCTCTCCTCCCCGTCCTTCAGCTGGACTGGTCTCCTTGTCCCTGCAGTGCCCGGCGAGGGCCCAGGAATCAACCCTTCCGGCCCGGCTTCTCGGGGAGCTGCCGGGGCAGGAGAGGCCTCTCTCCCGGCAGAGGGAGGCAGCACTAGCATGCTCAGCAAGGCACGACCGAGGTAGATTGCTCCTGCTCCAGGAGGTTCAGCAATCCTCTCTCCAGTGAGGGCCTGGAGCTCCCCAGCCCTCCTCCAGGTCTCGCAGGCCCGGGGACGGTTGCTCGGCTCCGGCCTCGGCTTCCTTGCACAGGGGCACCGTGTCCTCCATCAGACCTCCTCCTCCTCCTCCTCCTCCTTCCGGGCTCCGGGAGGCCCGGCGGCTGCGGGCTGGGAGGCCAAAGGCCCGGCGGTCGCAGGTCACTTCCAGCAGGTAGTAGAAGGTCCAGAAGACGGCCAGGCAGCCCAGCAGCATCAGGGTCTGGGAAGGGAGCGGCAGGGGCTCAGGCCAAGCGCCGCCCAGGGGCAGCCCGGCACCCTCCCCACAGTGGCAACCGCTCGGGGCTCTCTCCCCCCTCCCTCCCTCCCAGCGCGAAGGGCCTCCTCACCTTGAGGGTGTTGGCGGTGATGGTGTAGGGCTGCTGCTCGGGGATCCGGAGCCCGGGGGGGCAAGGCGAGGCAAAGTCCCCGTCCAGGAACTGCCCACTCATGGCCTTCTCCAGCAGCCTGCAAGGGGGGAGGGGCCCTGCCGGTCACTGCAGGGGCAACGGGGCCCCAGGAGGACTGTCTCCCCCACCCCCCACCCCCACTGGGAAGTCTGGTTGCAGCCGGCAGTGCCAGGGGAAGCTGCCCAGAAGGCGCCTCCCTTGCCGGCCCAGGCGTTGCAAAGCGGGTGCCCGGACTGGGGGGGCTGCTTTGCCCTCCCCATGCCCCCCCCTGCTCCCATGGTCTCAGCATGCCCGTGGAAGTCGCCCCTCCCGTGGGCACAGCGGCTGCTGCCGAGTCTTCCTTTCACCTCTGGCGCTCCTGGATCTGCGCGGGGCTCCAGGAGGAGCCGTAGAGCGTCAGCTGCCACTGGTCCAGCCTGCCTGCTCTCGGCGTCTCGGCTCCTGAAGAAGCCACAAGGCGTGAGGGGCGCGAGGGGGCAGCCTGCTCTCCCCACCACTCAGCCGGAGGGCAGGAAACTCACCCACGTCCCGGATGGTCAGCCGGTAGCGGCCCTGGGCCTCCTCGCCCCAGCAGCGCACAGTGGAGAAGGTCCAGTCCACGAAGCCGGTGGGGTCCCTGCAGGGGAGGCAGAGAAGCCGGGAGGAGGAGGAGGGGGGCTCAGACCCTCTAGAGGGGAGGGGGCTTCTCTCCTTGCCCTCCCCCCCCTCCCCCGACTGAGCCTGGCCACTGTCTGCCAGAGAAACCCTGTCGGGCCTTGAATGCCCAGCAAGGGCAGCTGCCAGGCCTGGCACCTGAGGGAGGGTCCGGCCCCCCAGGGACCCCTTGGGCTCCTGCCCCCGAGCAGCAGGGCACTCACGAGTCCATGCTGCGCGCTGTCCCCACCAGGGACTCCATGCCGCTGGGACAAAGGAGGTGGATCTCCAGATTGCCACGGCGGGGGTGGGTGATGCTGACCGTCACAGCCACGTGCTCCAGCGTCTTCAACCCCGAGGGCTCCAGGTCGGCTTCGGTCACTGAAGGGGGGGGAGAAAGGTCCCAAATGGGGGCTCTGCCAAGGTCTGCCAACCGAGAGGCCTTCCGAAGGGGAGGGTCAAGAGGACCCAGAATACCCGCCTCTCTTCCCACAACTCCCAACACCGCCACAGACCCCTCCCCAAGAGCCCCCCGGAGAGGCCTTTTCAATAGGGGCCGGATAAGCTCACAGGGATGGGGGCCTCGGCAGCTGCTGAGAAGCAATGTGGGAGAAGCAGCCGTCCAGAGTATCTGCGGCCTTCGGACCACCTTGGATTCCCCCCGGCCGCCCAGCTGCTGGCAGGAACTCCTCCTCCCTAACCCTCTCAGACCCTCCGTGAGGGGGGGGACCCTCCCCCAGCAGCAGAGGGGGCTGCTGTGTTTGGCAGCAACTTGGAGCATCCCTTCCCTCCCCCCACCCCACCTTCAGCTGGAGTTCCTCCCCCAGGAGTGACCCCAACCCCTTCCCCAAGATCTGGCATTTCCCAGCCCTCTCGCTCCCCCCCTTCCTTGTAGGGGAAAGTCTCCCTGGGACAGCCAGGCCTGAAGCTCCCACGGGCATAGGGGAGCCGGACCTCCAACCCTGGCCGAAGAGACAGCGGTCTCTGGGCTGAGCAGAGGGTGGGCTGGCCAGTCAATGAAGCCACTGGGCTCCCGGGCTCCTCTGGTGCCAACCAGATGCCAAGCCAGTTGCAGGAGGGATCCGCAGAACCGACAGGGAGCCCAGCGGGAGAGGGAGGACCCAGCCGGAGGAAGGCGTGGACGGAGGAAGGCCAAACAGAAGCTGCAACATTGCCTAAAATGGAGAGCCAGCGGCAGCCCTGGACACTGGCCACCTCCACTGAGCATTTCCTTTGGGTCCCTGCCCTGGGTCTGCCTCCCTGCCTGTCCCCTTCCCCCATGAAACGGGTGGGGCCCAGGCCCGATTCCCAAGCCCCCCCCCCTCCCCAGGACAGACCGTTCCAGGTGGCTTCCAGCTGCCCCGGGTCCAGCGGGATGGCCCTCCGCTCCTTCAGGAGGGGGCTGACGTAGGAGGCCAGATAAGGGACAGACTCCCAGACCTGCCAGAGGAGGAAGGGAGGATTCAGCTTTCCTGGTGCCACCAACGCAGTAGCCCCCCAGCCTTGGCAGACCAGCCCTCGTGCCCGTATTAAGGCAGCAAAACGGCTGCCCGTCTTCCAGGGCATCTGAAGGGCGAGGCTGCCTTCCCTGCCAGCTGTGGCTTCAGGGAAGGACTCCGGCCCCCTTTTCCTGGGAGGCTCCAAGCCAGACAGAAGGAGAGGCCGCCTCTCTCCTGCTTACAAATACATTCCCCTCCCCAACGTGGCCCTGTGGCCCAGGGAAGGCAGGGGGCACCTTGGCTGCGTTGACCAACCGCCAGGCGTTCAGCAGTCCGAAACCGTGCTGGTGACTGTGGCTTAGCCCAGCCTGGTTGAGGTCCCAGCGGGCACGATGGTCTTCATACTACGGAAGGAGGCAGCAGGAGAGCCGGTCAAGGCCAGGGGAGCCCCCAGACGGAAGGGCCATCCTTACTGGCCGGCCTCCCGCTCCACACGCATTCAGAAGGCAGGCCTGCCACAAGCCCACGGGGGCAGGGCAGGAGGAGCAAGGGGAGCTCCTGGAGGGCAATGCCCCTCAAAGACTAGAGCGGCCTCAGGTGATTTGGAGGAAGAGGACGGTTCCTCCGTTGAGGCAGGCCAGAAGAGAAGCGGCACCTTATTAAACAGCCCCCAGGATAACCCCCCCACACACACAGAAAAGGGAGGGAGGCTCCGGGCGATGGAAAGAAAGCCAGCCGAGGTCCCAACAGCTACCGGGGGGGGGGGGGGGCTCTGTGGGCCTGGCTCACCTTGGTGGCCGTGAAGACGATGATGTGCTGGACGTCCCTCCAGGTGAGGCACGGGCGCACCTGC